ATTTTTCCATCAATTTTAAAAAGGGGGAAGTAATTGCAATAGGCCGAAATTTAATATCAGAACCAGAAGATGGTTTTGGTATAGGGATAATTTTAATGTTTTTCCATGCAAAAGGTAGAACGTTACCGGAAAAAGAGGCATTAAAAATGTTAGTAAGAGGATAACACAAAATATCAGCACAATTCCTGAGGACAATGGCAGGTATGCCGTCAGGACCAAGGCTTTGAGAAGGCTTAAGAGACCGGAGACATTTAAGCACATCAAGGGTATTAAAACCACTAAAGTTATTGTCAATATGATTTGTATCATTTGGAAGGGTATCAACAGAAGAGCGTATGAAAGATTTATTAAGAGTGTCAACATTAAGAGATGGAACAGAAATACATCGCTTACCGTTAGTAATTTCTTTGAAAAGTTTCCATAAATTAGAAGGGGTTTTACATGACAAAAATCTTTGATTATATAAAACACTTAGTCTTTTTATTTCCAGTTTTATCAGCATGTTTAACTTTTTTACACCAGGCTTATCATTAGTTTTGAACAACAGTTCTTTATTTCTACGTAGCTTTTTGAGATATGGCGAAGATAAGCGATCAAATCGGATGAATAATGTTTCTTTAGGACAACATATTTCGAAACAGAATTTAAGATAATCAGTAGTGTTTGTGATTGTTTCATCTAATGTTTGTTCTGTAAATAAGTCCCAGTTAGTGTCTTTCAACATGCATCTGAGCTTGTCTAGGTTGTCTTTTGAGTAGCATCTCCGTTGAACTTTACTGCAGAGGTGAGAGAGGACACCTTTGTGTGATTTGGAATATATTTTAGGCAGCACACGTATGATGCAGTGGTCAGAATTAAGTAGAGGAGCACGTTTGCGAGCTTCATATATACCAACATCATTGATAAATACCAGGTCCAATTTTTTACCAAGACGGGTGGCAAAGTTGACAATATTGTCATGACCAAGTGATATAAGGAAGGAGTGATCGCATGAATTAAAATCACCTGTTACTATTGATAAAGAGTTCTCGAAGCAAGCTGCAGCAAAAGCGGTGAATTCATCGGCGAACATAGATAAATCCAATATGGTACAGCCAGGAGAGACATAAACATTAGAAATATAAATGAATTTGTATTTTGAAATGTGTTTCGGGCGACATCTCACAGTGATGCAATCAATGAAGTCATTCGAGAATTTGAAACAAACTTTGTTTGAAATGGACCATTTTGAGTGAATAAAAGTTGCAACACCTCCACCACACTTTTTCTTGGAACAAATACGGTCTTGTCGAAAAACATTGAAATTGTTTAGAGACACAATATTGTCATCGTATGAGTCATGGAGCCAGGTTTCTTGCAGAGTGACTATACCAGTATTGTGGTAGGTACTAGAAGACAACAGAGACTGAAAATCCAGAATTTTGTTAGGCAGGGACCGGCAGTTGGTACTAATGATAACTGGAACAGTGGTGTGATGTATGGGTGTAGATTTTAAGGCACGCTGCCAACCTCCATGGTGCTTTTTCTTGAGTTTATTGCAAATATGAAAGTTTTTGGGTTTAAAACGTTTTATAAAATCCCGGTGGTAGATAATACGATTAGAATGCATAATGTGATATGTAAATACCAATAAAATACGAGTAAATAGATGCAAAATGTACATGGAATGTGGTAGCCCAAAAATATTCAAACAGGCCGCCAAGGTCATTCGATGTGATGAATAATTGTTTATGCAATCATGGGTTAAATAGGTGGAAATAGTAACATGACAAAATAAACAGGAAGTTCGGATATGAAAATATGGTAATGTAAATAGAGCAGGATTTAATGAATTCATCAAATTTCGGTAGAACTCGTCAGCTGAATACTCTACATACACGGATATATATACTTTTGAAATTACATTGGGAGATATAAGACTGATAAGTAAACAAACTACATAGAATTAATCATGCAGAAAGACACGTGCGAATGTTTTCCAGGTCATGTTCAAATAGATAAGGGGAGAGAGAGTATGAGAGATCAAAATTAAGATAAATGGCATTACGCTTCAATTGCATCACTTAGATAAACAATTAGTCACTAGGGCATATAAGGAGAATTGCAAACAGACTAATATCAATAGTAATAGTTATAATAACAGTTTTAATAGTGTTGAAGTGAGTTAAGATAATCTTACTGATAAAGCATAGTTTTAGATGAATCAAGAATAATAATAATAATGGTAATAATAATAATAACAATAATAGTGAGAAGAAGAGGTAGAATAATAACAAGTAGAGAATAAAACGTATTACCATGGTAGATTAAGAGTTAGGACCATCTCCTTTTGTATACAGAGAGCTGGTTTATAAATTCGAATTGCACAAGCCTCTGCAATTGCAAGCATCTTCTTGTTTCTTTGTTTGCTGACAATGGTAAATGACTTGACTGCGTCGATATCATGTCCGTAATCTACAAGATGTTTTGTTATTGAGGATTTTGGCACTTTGAACTCAGCTGTTTTCAACCATTTTGGCAAATGCTCCATCATGCGAGTAGACAGTCGCCTTTCCGTACGACCTATGTATTTGCTGCCACAAACACACTCAAATTGATATATGCAGTTTGAAGTGTCGAGGATTGGCGACTGGTCTTTCCCAGATTGTTGAAGCACTCGCTTGGTGGTGTTAGGGATAACAAGTTTTGCAGCATAATAAGTTCTCTTGGTGGCTTTGTCGAGTCTTCGTTTCACTACTTCTTGTACGTCATCTCCTTTGAACATGAATAAACAGGAAGTTTAGATAAGAAAGACGATGGGATGGTCATAACTAAGAAAATTACCTGTTTATGATGGCCATGGCAGGGACAGGGGTTGGACGTATTTCTTTTGGATACAAAGCGTGGGTTTGAGCTTTGGGATAGCTAGCGCCTCGTCTATGCCCAGATGTCTAGATTTCACTCCCTTTGATACGTTTGATCGAATCTTGTATATTATTTTGAAGGATTTTTCGAAAGGCACTGAATGTCCTGAATTGACCGGATGTTCTGTCACTGAACTGTATACACGCTTTTGGTCTCCTTTTACTAACCAGGCTGGGTAGTGTTCACAAGCGCGTTTTTTAGGTAGGCGCATGGTACGGCCAATGTACTCAGCTCCCTTAGCCGGAACTTATTCTGGAACTTTCCCTTCCATTTGATACAAATACACGAATGTACAGCCTAGATGATGACTTCGTCGAAAAGAAAATTTTCTTCGCTGCAATTTTTTTCTTAATAACTCCTATGACCCAATGTGTATATTTCGTGATATGGATGATTATGTCTCTGACTAGGGTAAATAAAGAGGTTGATGGTGCTTCTTTGGCACACATAGGTCAGGTTTTTTCTTATCAATTTCTAGTTTCCACTATAGCTAAGAGACGTAGTCGTGTGCCTTTAGGTACATTGTTTGGAATTCGATAGACAACCGTAAATGACTCATCTATTTCGATGTGTTGCTGTTCACTGTCTACTAGATAAGATAAAATAGCAATATTTATTAATTTCGTTACTCTTTCTCCATGGGAGAAAGGAACATGTTCAGGAGTGTGTAAAGATAAATTCTTGTGAGTTCAACCAACAGAACTAGCCCCACATGAACAGTTGAATTTTTATACACCCGTTGATTTGGCCATTTTTAGTAATTTATCTTTAGTGGATTGTATCAGTAATGGTCTGGTTGAGAAAGTGATGTGTAGTTCTGCAGTATTGAAAGTTCTTTCAATTGATCTGATCAACCTACAGCTTAATACATCGCTGGATATATTACCTTTGAGCTGTAGTCTTAAATATAAAGTTTTTCTCTGTTGACGGTATGACTCTTAACTCTGTCAGTTCTATTAGAGATAGATATACTTCTTTTTTAAAACAATTAGTTCCCTCTATGAATTTAGATAAAGCAATAAGAAGGCATAATATGTCATGTATATTCCTATGACAAGTCCGTGGCTGTGTGATCAGATTGTTCGAAATGTATTGCGCAAATACATTACACGATTCACACAAATTACGTCTTCTTATTGCTTTATCTATATACTTCTTTACAAAATTGGTATGATACTCATTTTGCAGGCGGGTACGTTTAAGATTTTCGATTTCATTTTCAATACAATCCTCAGTATTTTAGTATTTTTAATATATTTATGCGTTGAAGGTTCTGTAGCAATTAAGTTAAGTTTTGGGGGTGGAGTTGCTAACATCATACCCTAACTCTCCCAACAACCAACAAGAAAATGTGGAAACAAACAAAACAAGAACAAATCGTCAACCAACAAATATCTAGGAGAAAGTGGAGATGGATTGAACACTGGCTCGCTGAAGAGGCCCCTGGGTGACCTCGCGCGCGCGTCAAGCCATTTCTCGAGTGGAACCAGGCCGAAAGGGGAGCAAGCGACGAGTGGGACGTCAGTGCGAGGGTGACATGGAGGAGATCGTGTGAAGAAGAGTTGAAAGAGTATGGAGTAACATGGATGCAAGTGGAAAGTACAGCAGAAGGAAGAGAGAAGTGGCAAGTGGAGACGTGCAGTTGAAGCCCTAAGTTCCACTAAGAACCTAAGCGAACAATAATAAAATAATAATAATAATAATAGTAACAAACCTTAGTACATATGAGCCTTTATTTTATTCAAAAAAATTGTATTCCTTTACATTCCCAGTGGAACATAGAGCTTCAAGCTAAAGCTGTGAAGTTTCGGTGGTGGTAGTGGTGTTTTATTTTTTCGAGATTGGGGTTGCTTATGCACAACCTTCTCTCTTTACCGGTCTTTTTACTGGCCTTAACTAGGTAGGGGAATATTTCGGCCTGGGATCGAACCCTGGATTATTTGTGGCGTGTGGTCGTAGAGTATACTATCGCTGTACCACCGACGCACGCATATGCGCCTAATCCTATTGATTTATTTATTTCATGAACATCATGAATATCTAACATTGGTTTCTTTACTCTAACCGTCTTTCCTATGTATATTTTTATTTTACAGCAAGTTGGTACGGACGATATCTAAATGGAACTATATGATGGATTATTATTTCGCCTTTCTCAATGACAATAACTCCTATTAACCCACAATATTAGGCTCTTTCTTTATGTAAATATGTAATTTCCTCCGATTATCTTATTGCTAATTTGATTTTTGTCTTTTGCCTTATATATTCTCAATCATGCTGGGGAATGATGTGAAATAACTATGATTATGAGATAAGTGACTTGAGTATTTTTTGATAGATAGCAAAAAACAACATGACATTATTGTAAACAAATCTGATGACTAACTAGTTCTTCCCTCTTCTTCTTTTTTTTTTCTGATTCTAGATTTTATTGTTGTATGCTACTTACAAGGAATTATAAGTAGTTGTGACGTTTTCTGTTTCAATTTATTTATAGTGGAGAGACAAATTAAGTTGCGAACTAGAAAAGTGATGGAAATTGTGAACACAGTATACTGATTTAAGGATAAGACTTGTGCACTGTGGTAGAGTATAATTTCATTATGGATAAATTTTTATTTTAACAAAGTCACACAGTGTTATACAGTTAGTTATATTTACTGATGACAACGTTTCGAGTACAATTTACTGCTCATAATTATATCACGTTGTCCTAGAAACGTGGTCATCAGTAAATATTACTGTATAACACTGTGTGATTTTATCAAAATTAAATTTTATCCATAATGAACTTGTGAACACATGTAGAAGGCATGACATGAAGATAATGACCGAAGAAGACAACACCAACAATGAGGAATCTAAATCATCAGTAGTAATTCCATACAAGGAAGGAGCCTCGGAAACCACCTTACGCAGAATTCTTAACAAGGCAGGAATAAAAGTGGCTGGCATTCAAACCACCCACAAACTCAATTAGAAACTAGCTTTGTCGGTTAAAGGATCAATCCTGTGGAGCCTTTATGGAATTATTTACTACCACAGTGGCCAAATAATGATAATGACGGAACATGAATGCTAGAAAAGCAGTTCGGCATTAAAATTCCAATCATGATTTTGAAAGAGGTACTTCCAAGATTTTCTATGAATGTACACTTCACGTTCAACAACCTTTATTACAGGCAAATCGATGATAATGTCATGAGTGGTTCTTCATTTTGTCCAATTTCGGCAGATTTCTTTCTTTCTAGACTTGAAAACGGTCCATTGAAACAAGTAATAGATAAAGTGGATTCTTATTTTCGTTTTTTTTTGATTTTTGATTTACAGCTTGATTCCACACTGTATTTTTGGTACAAGTATGGAATTTTCAGTATGGATATCGGTAGCCCAAATTTTGCAGGCCGACCATAGATATCAGGTGTGCGTCGGCGTGGGCTCGAACCCCGGACCATGTGCATGGTCGGCGAGAGTCCTAACCACTGTGCCACCGACGTACGTATGAGAAAGCTGACAAGAACGAAATGCTAATAGAATTTGATGATGCACATCCACTACTCAGCTTCATCTGTGAAGAAGAACATGATTGATAGACTACGCTTCCTTGATGTACAACTGAACAGAAGAGAGGATGGTTCACTCAAGATAGATTTCTGTGTATTGTCCTACATTCGTAGGGCAATATACACATTTCTTCAGTTTTGTACTATTCCGATACAAAATCAATTAGGTTAGATGCCTCACGAATAGAGCAAGACGTATCTCTACAGATGACTCCTTAGAAAATTCATTCGGATACATGCGAAATATGCTGGTCCAAATGGGTTATTGTAGTAGATTTTCAAGGAAGTACATGAACACCAGGTGTAATAAAGAGAAACTGACAACAGTTGAAAACAAGAAACAACTGTTCCTAAAATTGCAGTTTAGTGGGGACGTGGCTAGTGAAGTCCTACGTCTAAGATTATCGAGAGTAATAAAACAGACTTACACTACCACCAACCTTTATTTGTCATTTTCCAACTGCCGGCCAGTTATGACTGATCAAGCGAAAGACAAGCTGACTAGCTGTGCCAATACCCTGTGTATCTTAAAACTAAGCTGTTTGTGAGGACAAAGCTGGCTAAATAGGACGAACAACTAGACAGTTCAACAGGCGCATTAATGAGCATCTTCCTTCATGGTTCAGAAAAGGTCAAATAAAATCCATACGAAGTTCTGTTTTGGCTCATTTGATTGATAGTGGTCACCAAGTGGACAAAATTAGTGCCTTCAAAGTTATTTACCGCATTCCATCGAGTCTTTCGAACGGAATCAGAACCCGTCTTTTACATTAATATCAGTAAAAAGTTTGAGCATTGTGGATTAGATCAAATAAAGTATAATTATATTTTAATAGTTTACACAATGATAAGTTTTGTTATTGGTAATATTTCGAGCAAAATTACTGCCCGTGTTCACACCACTGTTGGAATTATTTTATTCTTTTACAGTCTTTTACAATTAGCCGAAGCTATGGGAATTCGAGAGAACAATCCCAGTCTTTGTATACAAAAGAAATTTGTTCTACCTTTGTCTCTCCCTTGCTTGCCTAGGTGAATTCTATTCAAAACCCGCCCACCCTTTCTTATCATCCCTCTCCTTCGTACTTTTATGATATTTATTTAAACTCTGATTATCGTTCCATTTGATTTGACCTAGTTTATATATTTATTGAATTGTCTACATATATGCATATACTAACTTTGTTATTCCTATTACCTATATAAGCCTTACTATCAATATTTTGTTATTATTATAATCATCGTTATTAACTTCGTTCAAAACATTTACCACATTATTATTATCATTATTATTATTTGATCCACAAAATCACCGTCATTGGTTAAAATTTTTTATATATAAATCTATGTAAATTAGACTAAAGCCTGAAGAAGATGTAATTGAAAACAACAATATTGTGCGCTTATATGTCCTGTGTGGAAATTGAAGGTTCAGTGTATATCATTACTCATTCCTCTGTTCATTCTTTGCGTTCAAGATGGAATGTAGTAAATCAGCTTCACACTTTCATTGCACGCGGTATTCTACTATCCCTTTCAGCTGATTTCATGACTTCCCGGAAGATTTCGCTTCTTCGTCACATAATTGCCTACATGTTGCTCTTGAAGGGGCACAACGTCGCCCCTAATTTTTATCAAACTCATTCAACAGTTATATGGTTGTGCCAGTTGGTCCACAACAGTAAACTCATTGAGGCAATTGAAATGAATGCAGGGTTAAAACAAGGCTACCTATTATCACTGATGATATTCCTAATTGTGGTGGACTAGATTATGCGTCAGACTGTGCTTGGAAGCGAGAAGACAGGGTTGTGTTGGACCGATAAGAAGATTCTGGAAAATCTGGATTTCACCGATGATTTATATCTAATATCACGCAAATTTGAAGACTTGCAGGCGAAAACCAGCAGGTAGGCAGAAGAAGGATCCAGTGAAAACGGGACTTGAAGTGAACATAGAGAAGGTATGGGTGATGAAAATAACCGACTAACAACTGCACCAACGGGCACCGTGGAAGGAATTTGCATAAGGTCACTTCCTTCACTCTTCTGACCAGTCATCGTTGTTTCAACTACAGGCGACACGACGAATAGGGATGTCAAAACATACCAGGATTGGAAGGGCAAGGCAGACATTCATCACTGTGAAGTCAGCTTAGAAATTTACTGCACAGCACTCAGCAGAAATAAGAAAATTTGGATTTTCAACATCAGTGTTGAGTCAATTAGTTACTTCTATACGGGTCAGAAACTTGGCCCGATCATCATAAGGAACATTTCCAACAGCCTATTGCAGACTTCCATCCAGATTTGTCTTCACTGGCTCTATACTGAAGATCAGATGGCCAGCCAGAAAGGATTAGCTGCAAAAAACCCTGTCAATCAGCGAACCAGTCAAGAACCTACTACTCAACAAATGTGCTAGAGAAAATAGAAATGGATTCGGCACACGCTGGAGAGATCTTTGAATGACATCGCGTGTCATACCATTGCTCGAGTGGCACTTGAAAGGGGAAGGATGAATCGGGTGTTATTCCCAGGGTGACATGGCGGAGGTCGTGTAAGAGGGAGATCGGAGATTATGAGGAGTCATGGGGCCAGCTAAGGAGGACCGGAGAAAACAAAGCAAAGTAAAGACGTGCTGTTGAAGCGGTATGCTTCACCCGGAAACTAAGGGAACAATAGCAAAAATAATACATTCGAGTTCCGCTCGTGGGTGTGACGTTTGATGTCGCTCGGTGTACGTTCAGTTATTCTTCTTAGTACCTATTTGTAGGCCAATAAGGTCTCCATCGTTTCTCTGTCATTTTTCCTTGTTGTTTATTGTCTCTGGCCGGCCGTCTGATCTTCAATATCTGGCAAAGGCAGCTGATGAAAGTCCTCATTAGCCTGTTAGAAGTGCTGGGAAAATATTGCTCTTAAAACATTTAAGCCTACTCGAAAACTATTGTGGAGATATGTGGACGACACTTTCACAGTGTTAAAAACAGAATATATCTCCAGCATCTTGACACATCTAAACTCACAAGTAGAGGGAATAAAATTCACATTTGAAGCGGAAAATGAACAAGGAGAATTAGCTATGTTGGATTGTAAAATAAAACGAATAGAAGAAGGTAAACTGCACACTAGTGTTTATAAAAAACCAACACATTCTTTTAATAGATATTTAGACTTTAATTCACCTCATCCGTTGTCTATGAAGGCAGGCTTAGTTAAGTGTCTAACAAACCGAAAAGTTGCGCTAAGTAGTACAAGAAAAGACCTAAATGATGAAATGAAACAGACAGAAGAGGCGTTGTTTTTAAATAACTAACTATCCTATAAAATTCATTATGAAGATCGAAAAAGGTCAAAAGCAAAATAAAAATAATTGTGAAACTAATAATAATAACAACATAAATAAGAGGGAATATAGGTCATCTACAGTTATGCCATATATGGAGGGGATATCTGAGATATCTACTTAGGATTCTAAATAAAGCAGGAATTATAGTGGCATTTAGACCTACAAACTCACTCAGAGACAAGCTGTGTAGGCTAAACGACCCGGTG